CGGGTTATTTACTAATAGTTTATTATAATTTTGACAGAATTTAGACAGTCACTAAGAGATTTTGGCAAGCAACCTTAATTTCAATAGAAGAAGTTATTATTAAAAAAGCATGCAAAATTATCAATAAATTGAAAATAATATACAAAACAGCTCTTAAAACATTTAAAAAGTACAAATCAAACAAAAAAAGTAGTATGACAAAAAGAAAATACTAATCTTATTTCAAATTAAACAAAAAGTTTTGATAAAATGAATAAAAACTCAAAATTAGTATCATAAAAAATTTGGCAAAAAATAAAAAGATCTCTTTTATATTCATAATATCTTCAATAAAGATACATATAAATTTTATACATTAAATAGAAAAGTATTAAAGAATTTTATAATAGTAATCATCTAAAGTCATATATTAAATTCAATAAATTGAAATCAATTATTATAATTAATAATAATTGATTTGTGAAGTAAATCTCTTAAAGTTGAGAGCTCTATCACTAATTTAATATATAAATATGTAAATGAAAAATATAACCATAGTAAAAATTAGTTATAATAATATTTAGATTATGTATTTAGTTTGATAACATTTTACTTCTTTCTATTTTTTTCTATTTATCTTCTTTTTCTTTTTTATATTACTTATTTTTCTATATTTATTTTATTATCATCTTAATTTAAATATATAAATTATGTAATTTTCTTGGCAAATTTATTATTTTTTATATTAATTTAGCTTCTATTTTTTATTTTTGCTATTGATATTTTAGTATAAAATAAAATTATTTAGTTAAATTAGAAAAGAACTAATAATTTTATAATATTATTATAATATAAAAATATAAAAATATATATAAATATCATTTCTAGTTCTTTTATATAAGAATATTTAGAAATAGTTAATAATGATTGTATTTATAACAAATTTTAAATATAATTGATAATAGTAAATGGTTGATAATGATGAATTAATAAGAATATAAATATAAAATGAATATTAAATGTGTTTAAATAATAATAAAGTAATGCTAAGACTAAATATATAATATAAATTAAAATTAAAAGTGTAGTTATAAAAGATAAAGATAATATAATAATAATTGAAACTAAATTAAGATAAAAACAAAAATAAACAAAGAGAAAATAAGAGAAAAATAATAGAAAATTAATAAAAAACAAGAAAATAAAATAAATAAAACAAAAATAAAGTGAATAAAAGAAACAAAAAAAACAAAACAAAACAAAAGTTAAATCAAAATATAATCTTCTTAGTTTATTTTAAGTCAATTTTCATATTATATATATAGTAAATTTGAATTATACTGATCTATATATTATTTATATATATAAATTACAAAGAAAAATTAATAAAAATATAGATCTATAACATATTGAAACATGATAATTATTATATAATATTAAAAAAAGATTTGTGTAAAATTTATATGTCATTAATTAAATTAAGAGATAAAAATAAAGTATCAATAAGATTTAAAATATAAATTAATATGAAATTATTATAAATTAATTGGTTAAATAATAATAATAAAATTTAAATAAAAATAATACAATATAAATAAAAATTAATTGGATAAAAATATGAGTTATTACTATTGAATAATAATAAAAGAAAATTATGAAATATAGAAAAGAAAATAAAAAATAATAGAAAGAATATTATTGCATTTTTGATAATAAATATGTATTAAAAAAGTAATAAAAGATAAAATAATAATAATAATATAAGTATTAATAATTAATAAAAATCAAGTTCTTTAAGTTTAATTTAAGTTCTTTAGTTCATATTTGAAGTTTTTTCAGTTTGATTTTAAGTTTATTATATTAAATTAATTTAATTTAAAGTTAAAAGTAATTTTTGGTTGAAATTTTTTTTAGTTTAGTTTTAGTCTTATCATCATTATTTTTATCTAGTTGAGAAATATCATTTTATTGTTATAAATATCAATTAATTATAAATTCAAAGTAAATCATCATAAACAAAGTTACTATTATCATTTTGAAATATTTTTATACACAAAAGCTCAAAATGGTAACAATATAAAAGTATTTTAAAGTGATAATAGTGACTGTGTTTATAGTAATTTACTTTGAATTATAATTAAATAATGTTTACAATAAGATAAAATAATAAAACTAAATCTAAAACAAGACTAAAAAAATTTTAACCAAAAATTATTAACTTCAAAAATAAATTAAACTAACATTACTAAATTAAATAAACTTAAAACTAAATTAAGAAACTTAATTAATTCAAAAGAACTAAAAATTGAACTGAAAGAACTTAAATCAAACTTGGAGAACTTGAATTTTATTAATTATCAACACTTGTATTTATACATATTTTCATATAATAATAACATAGTAATATATAGTATAATACAATATAATGCAATTGTAACATAGTATATAATACAATAAATTTATATTATTACTATAAATCTCTTCTAATTACATGAAAAATTAATTATATTATAATTAATAATCTTGTTCTATGCTAAAATATTAATAGCAAAAATAAAAAATAAAAGTTAATAAATATAAAAAATAATAAATTTATCAAGAAAATTATATAATTAATATATTTAAATTAAGATAATAATAAACTAAAAATAGAAAGATAAGAAATAATAAGAAAGAAATAAAAATAAAAAGAATATTCTTGACTTGAATACATAATTAAAAATATTATTATAACTAATTTTATATAACTGCACTTTTTATTCATGTGTTTATTATATTAAATTAGTGATAATACTTGTATTTATTGTGCACTATTAGATAATTACCAAGTTATTATAGAATATTAGTACTATATTACTATAAAATTATCTCATACTAAGTAAACATAATATTTATTAGTAATAATGAGAGCCAATTCAACAAATAAAAAAAAATGTACTATGTAAAGATCCTAAAGTATATCAATTATATTGAAATTAAGTAATTGTAAAATTACTGTTATCAGATATTGATTGAATATTTATGTTATAATATTACTTACTAGAAGTCTGATTGTAATAATGATAATAATAATTATAAATTCAGAAGTTAACATTAGCAACAACAAAATCAATAATATTATATAATATATAATTTATATAAATATATAATATATTTTAGCTTAGAGTTAATAAGTTTCTTGTAGGATAGAACTTCAAAATATGTATAATTATATTTATATTGATTTTTGGTTTTGAAAGATAGATTGCTTATAATAAATTATTATTATTGACTTGTTATTTTATTTTTAGTTTGAATTTTAAATAAACAAAATTTATATTAAATTCGAAAATTTAGATTGAAAATACTAAACATGATTTTTTTATGGAATTAAATTTTGAAGTCTGTGATTACTTAATGAACATGTGTACTCCAGCTCACCCATGACCGATTTTCCTTTCACGTGATTTTTCCGATCCCTGACGATCTCGAAACCAATGAAAATGCGTAAATTTTTGATCAATTCGGCAAAACAAATTCGCACAAAAAAATGAATAATGCAAAAATACAGGAAATAGATGCTTAAACCTAACTTTTAGCACTAATAAAAAATGACGAGAAGACAATTTTACATATAATCTCACTCCAACTCTAACCTAACCCTAACCTTTAATACTGCGGAATGTTTCGGGTAATTGTTGTGGCTTGGAAAATCGGATCATAAAATCACGTGGGTGAGCTGGAGTAGTTTAAAATGTGTATATTTGTCTGCTGTGTTTTCATGTGCAAGAATAATATAGTTCTTGTTTTATCACTTATTAGTAAAATACAATTATTGCAATAGTTATGAATTTTGAGTTTCAAAAGAAATTTCCTAATAAATTAGTGAGTCAACAAAATAACCGTCTATTCAGGAAAAAGTTGACCTATTGCATCAATGGATGCAAAGTCTGAAAGATTTCTATGCGAGTTGGCAATCAGACTATAATACGACCATTATAGGTCATTACAATTTTTCACAAGTGTTTTACGCCTCATCATCATTAGATCGATATCAGTTATAATAAATACAACAATGCGAAAAACGACATAAGAAAATAGAAAATCCGACAACATCCCAACATATTATTTTTCCGTAAATAATAAGAACTAAATCTCGTGATCAACAATACTCTTTTCAGGCGAGAAATCAAGTCAATAGATAGGTGGTGGCACACACACACAGACACACTAAATACTTATCCTAAGAAAAATTGCCTCATAGTACAGCACGATAAAAAAGAAAATTTCGAAACGAAAACTTTATTACATTTTGACATGATACATTCCGCACCAAAACCTCGGCGGCTATCTACTGTGTCCTCCACTTCAGTATCAGTGCAAGCCAAAAACCGTCCTCAAGCAGTAAATAGTAACAATAGCACAAATTCGCCTACTACAAGTACAATTAGTTCACAGGGTGCTTCCAACCCTGAGATTTCGTGGTTACAACAACCACCTGTAAGAACAAACATCGCTGGACAACAACAGCAATATCACCAGACACAGCTCTCATCCTCAAGAGTCAACTTATCCCCACATAGGAAAACTTCTCTAAATGGGAAGAAAATAAAAGAGGATAGTAGTAGGAGTAACTCGCTAAGGTCGGTTGATAGGCTTGAATTAGCAAGTTTAGATCAGAAATCTTCTCAAAATTCGCCATCGGCTAGCTCTGCTTCATCTCCGCAAAGAAAATCTATATCGAAAAGTAAAGAGGAATCAAAAATAGAATCCACAGAAACTAGCTCTTCGAAGCACTCAAAACATCAAAGTAAAAAGTACAAGGAACAGCAGGCAGAAGTCATGAAAACTTTTAAGAAATTGCAGTCGTATGAAAGTGAACTTGCAAGTCAAACAAATGAGACTATAGCAAGAATGAATACTTTATTTAATATAACGCAAACTCTGCCCGGAAAAGAAAATGATAGTGATGAAGATGCATTTGGTACAATCGATGATGTACACAATAACAATACTAGTCGCAATAATTCATTGTCAAAGGCTTCTCTCGTGGGGTGAGTATTCAAACAATATCGAGTACCAAGTCATTTACTTGTACTCTCTAAAAGATCTGAATGATTCATTATTATCTCCACAGAATCAATGAATAGATAGATATATAAATAAACAAATAAACAAATAAATAAATAAATAATAATCGATTGTTACATTCTCTTACAGTATTACAAAATTCAGTTTATAAAAAATTAATTATAACGCTCTTTATTCTCATAGAGTTGATAATAAAATACGCCGTTCAACTTCTGCTGCTAAAAAACGAATAACGACAAATTCCTCATCATCCACAACTCGTCCAAAGTCACTATCACGACATCCTAGTTCTATGGAAATAAGTCACCCGAATGTAAATACAAACTCACATGGAAATGAATCTATTACTTCGGTAGGTCGCCGAAGAACAAGTACAGCAGACGGGATTCCATTATTGAGGTCAAGTAGTTATGGTCATAATAGATATTCTAGTGACATTTCTGGAATTGGGGTCGCCGTTACTACAAATTCACGAGTGGATATGTCTGAAAAAAAAGCATTAAAAGAGACACGCTCTAATGAGAGATTAGCGCATTTAATGCAATTACATGATCCAAAAAAAAAGGAGAAAAAACGTGCAACTTTAGATCCATCATTATCGACAAAAACTAAATTTTCATTGGAAGATTATTCAGCTCCTTTGCGACGAAGGGGAACAATTGATTTAAATTTGACAAAATCTTTGCCGCAATCGAGTGTATTATCTAATGAATTACTCGATGATGATGAGTTGAATAGAATGGATGATACACCGTCTCCAATGTTTCCTGGTGTCACTCGCTCTAAAACTATGCCGATACCAGTTCCAAAATTACCTTCAACGCCTACAAATTCAAAATTACCATCTCCAAGTATTCATCGCATTCACAGTAGTACGGGACATTTTCCTACCTTATCATCAATGAAGAACAACAATAATAGCAATATGAATTCATCAAAATCCGTAAAATATGATTACTCGCCGTCTGTGGATATATTATCGACATCTGCACCGAGTGTCTCAAAGCGTCGTAAGTCTGTTACATCTGGTGTCATACAATCTTCATCTAATTCATCTAGTGCATCATCAAAATCAACGAGTAGAACAACAACCCCAACTTCATCACTTGCTAACCATCGCCTTTCTCATCCGCCTCCCTTGAAATTAACACAACTGCCACCACCAGTTCCTTCGATGCCTCCAAGCATGCTTCCACAACCACGGCCTCGTAGCCAGCAAAAGCTAAATAAGTCAGAAGACCTTCCTCCTGTACCTGCATTACCTTCATCCATTATGAAGGACTCTACTAGTAATTTATCGGGATCAGATCGTAAATCTGTGATGATATCTGAACCTCTAAAAAGTGGTGAAAGTTCGCCTAAAGGTAAGAAAGAAAGGGCTTTGGAGAGTCAGGCATTCACAAAGAAACCTCCCGGTACCAGGAAAAGAGGAACGGTAAGTAATTTTTTGTTTATTATCTTTGAATTTACTCTCAAATGTATATTTTTTCTCACAAAAATTATAGACTCTTCCAAACAGTACGGCTGTTCCGCCTGCTCTTAAGCCCATGATACTACCTCCTATCAATATTCCACCAATATCTGCATCTATGAACCGAATACCTGCTCCTTCGAAAACACCTACATCTTTGGATGTTAGAACATCAATTAAATTGACAACTCCTACTTCTGCTCACACTCCAAGTTTTACAAAGATTCCTACTCCAACAAGATCCTTAAAAAGCAGCACTGGAATTTCATCTCCAAGCGGATTAAGAGGACTTCTTTCAAATCAAAGAATCTCGCCAAATAATAAATCGACTGAATTTGCGAAAAATACGCGTGTTAACGGTCGAAAAAGTGCTACAACTCCAACTCAGCTTCTAGCGGTTGCCCAAAAAAGTACCAAGAAAGCAGCAGCATCCCTAAATTTCTTGAAAACTCATTCGCCTACGAAAGCTCCAAGCCCAAGCATAAGCACCAATGAGAAACCCGCATCAAGACCAAGGCGATTATCAAATACGACTTCGTCAATATTTCCGAATAATAAATCCTCTAATGATGTGTCGAGTCATAATAGCATTACAAAATCTATTAATCTTCACAGTCCAAAATTAGGCTCTAATATGCCAATACCCAGAAAGCCTCGCACCATATCAGGGCCTGCTACTGCTAATCCTACCTCAGTATATTTGGGATCACCACTAACAGCAAAAATGAGATTAGGATTACCAAATGACTCCTCTCTCTCTATATCATCCTCTTCATCGAGTGGTACACCGAACAGCTATAAACCGGGTGATGATGAAATGTCAACGAGTGGTGAGGACGAAGCAACAAGTCTCTTGCAAAAACAAGAGAAAGAAAAAGAAAAGAAAGAGGCACAATTGAAAGGCACTCCGCCAATGACTCCAATAGAAGCTTTAAAATCAAATGCTCCGTATTTATCATTATATGAGCGTACAGAAATTCTCGATTACCCTAATGTATATTTTGTGGGGCCTAATGCACAAAAGAAAGCCGCAAGCCCCGAATTAACTGGATGTAATTTCGGTTATGATGACGAACGTGGTGATTATCTAGTTGTCACTGGTGATCATCTATGTTATCGGTACGAGATTTTAGACAGTTTAGGGAAAGGTTCTTTTGGTCAAGTCTTAAAATGCCATGATCACAGTACTGGAGAGATCGTGGCCGTAAAGATAATTAGAAATAAAAAGCGATTCCATTGTCAAGCTCTTGTTGAAGTAAAGATTTTGGAATCTTTGAACAAATGGGTATATATAATTATTTTTTTTTAATAATTTAATGATTGTTACGATTAATAATTAAATATTTTTGAAAATTAGGATCCGGATGATTCACACAACATTATTCATTTAACCGATCACTTTTATTTCCGGAATCATTTGTGTATTGCCTTTGAGCTTTTAAGTATCAATCTATACGAATTTATAAAAACCAACAGTTTCCAAGGATTCAGTCTTGGATTGATAAAAAGGTAATATAGAGTCGCTCATAGAACCTTTAACGAGTTTTCGATCTTTAAATGAATAATTTAATTTTATATAAAAATTTAGATTCTGTACACAGCTTCTCAACTCTCTGTTGTTGCTTCAGAAACATAATATTGTCCACTGTGATCTGAAACCGGAGGTATGCATATACTTAATTTCTAATAAAACATGAAATTTACGTGATCTAAATTTATTATTCTATCATTTTTTATGTTTAATGATTAGAATATATTGTTAAAGCATCCTACAAAGAGTAGCATAAAAGTAATTGATTTCGGTAGTAGCTGTTTTGAAAATGAAAAGGTGTACACATACATCCAAAGTCGATTTTATCGATCGCCGGAAGTCATCCTAGGGATGACGTATAATATGGCTATTGATATGTGGAGCTTAGGGTGTATTCTCGCTGAGTTATATACTGGTGTGTATCTTTAAAACACCGAAATATTAAAATTAGCAAACTTATGTTCTAATATGATTATCAAAAATAGGGTATCCACTATTTCCTGGTGAAAATGAGCAAGAGCAACTTGCTTGCATTATGGAAGTACGGGGTTTACCAGATAGATATCTCGTTGAGAAGAGTGAGAGGAAGAAGCTGTTCTTTGGTAAGATTGATATTTTACTGGTTTTTGATTGATTATTTAATAAACGAATATTTATTTAATTCGCTTTGCTTTGAAATATAGATTCGAGCGGCAATCCTCGTCCTATTACAAATTCTAAAGGAAAGCGTAGGCGTCCACAATCAAAGACTTTGGCACAGGCATTGAAATGTCAAGATGAAGTCTTTTTAGATTTTATATCTCGATGTTTGCAATGGGATCCAGAGAAAAGAATGAAACCTGATGAAGGTTTAATGCATGAATGGATTACAGATGTGAAACTTCACGTAATTATTATTGATTAAGAAGAATCAAAACTTGGTATTCCTCGACAAAAAAATTAATTTTTTACGTTATTACCAAATACTAATAAAATAACAGCGAAGAACATTGACGACACCAACACGAGAAGATTTTTCAACCAGAACGACCAGCTTAACTAGTAATAGTCGTTCTTCACAATTCTCAGCCACCAGTTCCATACATAATTATAACAGTAATGATTCGAATACAAATCAATCAAGCCAATCGACGACGTCGAATATCACGTCACTTCATCGCATCCCTACGTATCCTCAACCAAGACGTAGTCTAGATGCTGCACCACAAGCACCTACAACACGAGGATCGGGTATCAGACAATTTGGAAATTCAATATCGTTAGCTTCAACTAGAAATGGAAATGAAAATATATTAAGCGCAAACGGTTATTTGGTAAGTTATTTGAGTGTAAAAAAGTGCGGCTCAAGATCTAAAAAATAAAGATAAATTTATAGACTATGTAGAATCAAGATCACAATAATAAATTGAATTCAATATTTTTACCAAAAAAAATTTGTAGATTTTTAGATTATTGATCAATAAAAATTAACCTTACATTTTTTATTCATTTAGCCATAAAGACATGAAGAATTGAATGCACACGACGGTTATCAACGGACATAAAAGTGTGGGATGAAATTTTTCGATGTGTGAATAAAACGCGACAATCCAATATTATTTTAACGACAATTACAACCCTCAAAAAGACTATTATTTGCATTTTTATGTTATTAGCACGAGCGTTCAAAATTATAATCATCAATCATACTTTTAATCAATTTCATCCAATTAAAATTGGATCGCTCAACCGATATAATTGACATTGGTATATTGAAATACTAGCATTTCATCCTCCTCCTTTGTGATTCCCGTCTTTGATTATCATTTCCCTGAGCTATACATAAATTTGCTCAAAATTTCATGAACAATTAACAACTAGATAACTATATTTTCACTTATTGTTCCATTCTCGAGCGTACAAATCTTAAATTATTTGCTAATGATCTTCGTTATATAATAATGATAATGATAATAATGATAATGATAATAATAATGACAATAATAATACGAATGATAATAATAACACGAATAATAATAATAATAATAATAATCAAGTAGAAATTAGTTTAATTTAGTAGATTTGGTGTTTCTGGGGCATTATTTTTAGAAATCTTTCTAGCATTTAGAATTATGATGATGATTATTTTTTATTATAATTAACTGTTTTAGCTGACTCAAAAATTATTTTTCTTTTTTTCTTGTAAATTTTTGTTTATTTTTCCTTTTCAATTGTCTTAACAAAAAGAAGCAATCAACTGAGCATGCGTGTGAGGGTACGATTATAGTAGGAGAAAAATCAAAATGATGTTCACTTCCACTGTGGTAATTCTTTTACTGTTAACAAAAAAAATTCATTTTCTTTTTGTTGTTTTAAAAACAACATAATCTTATGTGTGATTTAATTTGTGGGGTTGATGAATGAGATACATAAGAATATATTTAAAAAGTTGAGAATAAAATTTCGAACATTGATAAATTATATAGGTCACGTGATTTCTATCGTGAATAATATTTTCGAAATATAAACAAAACAAATATAATATGAATTTAAATAAGAAAACTGAAAAGATCCAATAACCTTGTTATTCAACCAAGTAAAAATAACGATCTTTATTGTTATTCTTTTTTCTTTGAGGATGAGAAACATACTGTTATTTAATGATATTTTTTCTCTTTATGATGTTCTACAGAAAAGAAGCATGAACATAGAAAAATGTGAGAATAACATCATCAAATCATCAAAATTACGATTACGGATATTAAATCAAAATCATCAAACCCAAAGAGAAACCTACTCAAATGAAATTGATAATCAAGAAAATATCCAATTCCCAAAATCGCAGTAATGATATGAACAAGTGGCATTGCAGAGTTAGTATGGATATATTTTGCTCGATATCGGTCAGCGAGACTTTTGGGTTCCGGGATTGGTCTTGGTCCTTTAGGCACTTTTTGGTAAAAGTTAACTAAACGATTGATACGTGCCGCATCTGCGACTGAAGTGCCTACATGCTCAATTGATAAAACTGGTGGTACAGGAACTTTTGTTGTTAAGCGGCGTATTTGGATAAAGTTCATTGTGTGGGGTAATTATGCAGTAGATTCTTTAAGATTCTTGTATAAATTAAAGAGAAAATTGATCAATTAATACCATGTGGGTTTATAATCTTCAATATATTTATATCGATGTGTAGTACAGGTAAGATGGATCTGCAATAAACTCGAAAATCGGATGATGTGATATATGAATTTTATTAGCAAATTGATCTTTTTTTTTTGAGATGTATAGACCACAAATAGAGAAATAAATATATGTTTTAAGCAAAGAATAGATATAAAAGAGAAGAGAGAGGGATAATAAAGATAAAAGATCTATGTACAAGAATGAAAATAAATATCTAATTTAATCTTCCAGCATGCGGATTCTTCCAGAACCCAAAAAAAATATAATGAAAGTTGTATGAAAAATGGATCGTGCAAAAATGAGATAAATGTCAATTGTGTGTATGGTATATATACGCTTGCAGAAATCTAGGTAAACACTACACTACAACTAATCCTATAAGATAAACGATTGAATGCTCATTCTAGATGAAAATTCCCAATGAAAGATCAAACGAATCTCTCCTCTAATTTCCATGGAACAACAAATTGATGATTATTTCAAGACCGAGAATTCAAATAGCTCAGTGTTGTTATTTTACACGCGTAATGCTTGCACTGTGCTTCCGAATCCTATAGCAACGAAATCTGTACATGCTGAGCTCCAACTCAACTGACTGATCTCGCTATCTGCTTTATATGCCAAAAACGGATCTTGTTGATATTTATTACCACCACTGGTATTAGAGGACATATTATGAAGATCCCATACAAGTACTTGTGAATCGTCACCTATGAAAAATAAATAAATAATATAAATCGATTATTTTCAGAATAAATTCTTTTAATGAAAAAAAAAAAGAATATGAAAGAAGCATATATACCCCCACTACAAAGATATCCACTTTGATGAGGTGCCCAATTAACACAATTCACAGTTGCAGAGTGACCTCGTAATTCGGCAACAGGTACACAAGGAACTCGCACATCCAATATTTGGACATCAGTAGAATCCATATGAAAAGTGGCCAAATAATTATTGTCAATTTTATTAAAGCAAAGACGTAATAACGGTGATGGCTGAGGTGGAGTCATATGTGCTGAACTAACAGGAGAAGCATTTGTCTCGTAGATTATAGTAGAATGTTCTAGTGATCTTTATTGATTAAAAAAATTATAATCATTAAGTAAAATCAGAACAGAAAGAATAAAATAAGAGTAATGATATGGACAAACCTCAAATCAAACATTCTTACGCTTCCATCAGCGCCAACACTTGCAAATACATCTACAGTACCGGATGCAAAAGCAACATCATACACTTCCTTATCATGTGCAATCAGTTGTGTCTTTGCTTGAGTAGTTTCTACATTCCAAACTGTGCATGTTGTATCAATACTGGATGTGACTGCTAGAGTCGGATCAACTTCATTCCAATCAAACGATGTTAATGGGGCACTGAAGTCTGCTTTTGGCTGTTTATTATGATTGATGATGTTGTAAATAATGTCATTATAATATTCCAATGAAATGCATTGAAAAAATAATTAGATACTTACATTTGCTAATATATGTCGTTGAATTAATCGTTGATGTCGAAAACCATTATTATTATTATTTGCGCCAATATTATTATTTACTGGAAGTGCATCGTCTGTGATTTCCCATAGACGCAAATGATCGCCAGCTGTTGCTAATAAATCGGGATTTGCTGAGCCTCCCTAGAAAATAGTTTTCAAAATCATTATCAATAATAGTAGTAATAATAATTGGGTAAATCTTTACTTGCTATCCACCTTAGATGGTTCCCATAAGACCTTGGTAATCGGATATTGGTGGTCTATTTCGGCAATCTTGACAAAATCGACGTTTTGTGGGCGTTGATATGGGTCGTCATACGCAAATTCAGTCAGTGTAATTATTTGAAGCTAAAAAGAAGTGATATACAGACGAGGGTTAAATAAATTCAAGGTGATAAAACAAAGGATGCAAATTAAAAACACGCACTTGGAAGCGCGCGCACCTTATTATCGCATTCTTCGATGAAACTTCCTAGAGCAAGTCGAAAAGCTTTTTCTTGTGGACGTTTCGACCAGTCCAAACCGTAGACAGGCCAAGGAGCAATATATTGATACATTTCTTTTTTCGGCGGACTTTTAGCATCATAGCCTCTTGATATTTTTCCATTTCCGTTCATCATATTTGAGGTGTAAGGAGATTGAGGAGGAGAATTTGGCTGTTGAGTGGGAGCTGCATGAGTTGGAGGATAAGAATTTATATTGGTTCTGTTCATCATTTTTATTAATAATAATCGTAGTAATCGAAGATATTTACAGGCACGTCAAGAGTATTATGTTTGACCAATCTCGCGGAGAAATGATAATAGTAATAATATGTTATAGTCTCTGTTCCACTTGATTACATCATTACTCTACCAATGATTTTCGATAAATTGAGAAAGAAAAGGCAACTGTCAAAAAACTAAAGGGCGCATATAGTTATTTTCTACCAATCACTCCCACAAATCATGTGTCAACATGCGAATCATCATGCACATGAGCGTTTTGTGTCATCGAAAAATTCATGGTTTTTCCGATAGAACTCGCAGTGATGGGTAAATGAATTAACGATTATCTTAAAAAGAGAGAATATTATTAACGTTAATAACGAGAACTCATTTAATTAATTAATTGTTTGAACTTCTTCCATTAAAGCTAATTCGACATGTGGTCGTCTTTGTGTTTTTTTCGTAGTGACTTCCGATTGGCCAATTAAATTCAAACTAAACTCCCTGTTACGTGGGAATTAACTATTTATAATATAATTATTTGTACAAAATCTAAAAAAAGCTACCACTTCTCAGAATCCGTGTAGCTCTTTATAATTTCCGGTTCCGAATAAATCAATAGCCCTGTTAATCAGGTTGTGGACTTGGCCAATCCCTCCAAATATATAAATATTTATTGCCGATTTTCAGAAACTTGTGATCTTAGCAACAAAAAAATGATTTTACCCGGCGAAACATCAACAGCAAAAAGAAGTAAGAAATGGAATCCCAGGCTTATAAGGTGAATGATGAATTGAATGATCAATTATTAAACGATTTTATTAATGAAGATATTATTCTCCAAGGTTAACTACGATTGTTGTTTCGTTACCGTTACTTGTGGTTACCAGTATGATTCTTTATAAAAGACGTATGTATGAAAGGGAATAAATCTTATTGGATATTTTTATTCGTTTTTGATTTTGATTCTTTTTTTATTTCGGAAAAGTGATACTTGGACATCAGCCTACACCACGTGTACCGATAAACCTAAATTCCGTATCGAGATCCAAGTCTAAAGCTTCAGACACCAGTAACAATAATGAATGACTAATAACACCGTCAGTAACAAATATACAAAAAAAGCTTTATTAATGTTAAAAATTATATATATACTATGCAAAAAAAGGTCTTTATTTTTCAAAAATCAAATAAATGATCATTTTTTAATAGTTCAAACTAAAATAAAATGAACGATCATTTTTGAATTGTTCAAAAATAAAATAAACGGTCATTTTTAATTGTTCAAAATAAAATAAAATAAAATAAAAAATAACATTTTTGTTTACAATCTAAAATCAATTAGATGTCTAGCAAAAATAAATAAACCAAAATAAATGTTTTTTATGTTGTTGACGTTATCCCACCGGCAGTCACCTGACAATCTGGAAGTTTTATCCCAGGTTTAAATGATCTATCAGGATTGAACAATCCCCAACTCCCCTCAAGTACTGTGAAGTAAGCCTTCTTCCAGGGCGTATCAAACGCTTCAAAATAATAATATTTTGTTTGTTTGGTGTTAGCAGTACAAACATAAGTATCCAAAAATGTTTGTAAATTATCGACGCTGGCGACTGCATCACGCTCCGATGTGCCATTCGTCGGCCATCCAATTTCCGAAATTACGGCGGGTTTTCCTGCTTCAGCAGCTGGCTTTACATCAAAGTTTTGAAAGAAATCGAATGTCCAAGTTGCTCCAATGTTGACGGATACACCACCAAAGTATGGGTGTACGTTTGCAAATATTACGTCACTTCCGGCCACGAATGCTTTATCTACATTCGATCCGATGTCGGATGTGAATACTGGGGTGTTTGCATTGGGGTATTTGGCTTTTATTTTATTTCTTACATCGGCAATACGTGAATTTAGATTATCGATGGTGACTTGTTTACGGAATATTGCTGCACAGAAACAATAATCCAATATTATTAATATTAAGAAAAATTAGTGATTACTTCATCAATAGATCGTTAAAAATAATACCTTCGTTTCCGACAGAAACTCCTTCGATTCTAGAAATTCCATGTTGGTCTAGATTATTAAAGAGGTCGTTATATTGTCTTGTATAAGTAGTTTCATTTCCATCAACCCATACTGTGGGAACCACCGTCATATCGAGTTTCAATAAATCAATCGCCTGAACTGTAAAGTTTAACATGTTACAATCCATTCCATAAAGTCTTAGACGATTTGTTAGCTGAGATAAAACTTTAAGATCCTCTATTGTATCGCCCAAAGTATTGGTACACCAAGGAAACAGGGCAAGAATCGGGCCATAGTTTATACCATAAAAAGATTTATGTAGTCGAGGGTCAGGAGTTATCGTTAAATTCACAGGTTTACCGTCATTGGTATAATAAGGTCCGTCGGGGTTTGAAGGTAAATTAGCACCTTTTCCTCCTCCTACACCACTATTTCCACCACTGAATCCATCAGAGTTACCCCTGGAACCGGAATTCCCACCACCAGAAGTTCCTTTATGCATAAGAGCATAGACGACACCAGCAACCACCGCAATTATTACAAGTATCCCCACCGTAGATACTATCAAACGTGTTTTTCGTGAAGCACGTTGTTGCTTCTTGAGCCATTCACTTGCGTTTGGGTCAACCATTCAAATATATATATACTAAATGTATAATATATGTATACAAGTGGACAAGAAATAAAAAGAATGAAAAACAAGTTAAAAAGTTAGGAATTTAAAATTTATCATATATCGATATACCATCATTTTTGTCTGTTAAGTCTACCGTTTTGAGCAATCGTAATTTAACGATAAATAAATGATAGTACAATGCATACTGTAACGCTACACAAAAATTTTCATTTTAATGATCCAGTGGGCGTCAAAGAAAATCCTTATTTAGATGTATTATGCACTAATAACTTCCACTTAGAATTTCAAATACGAAATATATCTACTCTATAAGCTAACCATAATAAGTGTTTTTTTTAAAAAAAGAAAGGAGCCACACGAAAAACAGGCAAGGAGACCGTTGCAATAGAAACGTCAAAATTACAGCGTGAAGATCTAGCTCATCTGTTCGGAATGCTTGGCACTTTTATTGAGGCTACAAGATAACAATGCGTTCGCGTTAATAATTTTAACCAAATTTGTTCAATAAATAATTGCTTAATTAATTTTCTTGACATCCGGACGAATAATACAATAGATCTTTGATAGGAAATTGATCATTTAATTTTTGAACCATTTCCTCAACATTATAAAACGATGTTGTGATTCCATGTTCGAGAAATGAATAAACGATGTCAGTATTACAAGGATTACATTGCAACGATGCATTATCCAATGTTTTTTTGTCATATGCTTTCATTAAATTTCAAGATTCAATATCGATAACGATGAAGCATATTTCTTTATCACGTTCTAGTTTTTCTTATTTTTTCTTATTAGTTTTTCTTCAATTATTTTCTCTGCATTCTAATTTCATACTGATTCATTTTATCGTCATATTTAATTCATTCTAATTTTTTCGAGTATTATACCTGTTACTTTTTTTTGAAGAAAATTCTTTAAGGCGGTGGATACCGAGAAGAAAGTATGAACGCGATTGGCAAAATGTACACGCTAATCTTTTCCTTAATTAGATCACTTAACGTTAATTCGAAATAGAAAACCACGATATGCATGGATTGAATTGATCGGGTTCTTGTGTGCACAGAAGAGAGAGAAGTTTGTATATACATGTATATATATATATATATTAAGTTATTAAGGCTTAAACATGAGTTACGGTGCTATTCCAACTTCACCTACTGGTGAGAGCTCGACTGACCCGAGCATTACGACAGCCCTTCAACAAAAAGACAAGAAAAAAGCCGATCAACCAAATGACAGGAGAGAACGTAATACACAGCCAAATGACAGGAAAGAACATAATACACTATCTCAAGAAAATCTTGCAGAATTCCTAGAATCAAAAAAAGCCCACTGGTTCATTCTTCTTTTGGTAACAGTGGATTTTCTCACTGTAATTACCGTAATTTTCATTACACTCTACGATCAGGAAAAAGAAGACTCCATGCTCATTGAAGTATTACTAGAAATTGGTTTTGGAATCAACATAATATTTGTGATTGAAGTGATCTTGAAGTTTATCGTGTTTGGATTCCCGTATTTCTATACAGGAGAATTTGGATTCTTACATGGATTTGACGCGTTTATTGTGATTACCAGTTTTGTGCTCGAACTGTTTCTTAAAGGAAAAGAAGCAGAGATTGTGGAATTGTTGTTGTTGTTTAGATTTTGGAGATTAGTTAAAGTGTTGGGTTCTGTGGCAATTGGAGTTGCAGAGTATGATGAAGCACATGATGTTGCTAGAGAAGCACATGTTAAAGGATTGAGAGCAGGATTTCGTAATGTTTTGAATGAGGTTAATACTATTGCTGACGAGGATCGATGGCCTGAACAAAAGAAAGCGAGAGTATTCGATTTAGTCGAAGATACTTCGATTATTCCCAAATGAATTACATTTTTGTTACTATCAATTTTATTTATTCGTTAATTTTATTGTATTTCATTCATTCATTCATTCATTTCATTATATTTATATCATGAATTATTATTATCACATGTATGTAAATGAAATTATAATAATAATAATAATGATAGTGTGCAAGTGAGATTTATTATCGTTATGATTTACTATGATTAATCTTGATTTGGAGCTAAAGCAATCACGTTAAATCGACTTTCATTTGGATTTTGATCGATAAATTTCTTTATAGCTCGAGCAGAATCCGACAATAAATCCGAAGAAGGACCGTGATTAAACGGATAAAGTCTTCTACCATCCAACTCGTACAAGAATCCATCTTTTTGAATGAAACAAGTAAAGTGTAAATCAGTGTCCGTATGAACTCTACTCTGACCATGTTCAGAATGTTCCCGATGCGCATGTTCTAATTCCTCGTCTTCCTCGAGCACTTTGGCACGCTCTTCTGGTGTCAATTCACGAGTTTTCTCAATCAATCGCTTGAGTGGACCATCTTTGAGATTAATCGCGTGTGTATTATTCGCCAATGAATGCAATAATCCTATAGTTCCACACGCGTTTGGTATCGTTTGCTTATAGAAAATCAAGTCTTTTGGTATTTTTTGGGTGTCAATTGTCTCTTGTAGTGCTACGTCTTGTTCTCTACGAAGTTTTTCGCTGGCTTCCGTTACTGGGAACAAGAGAAAAAACAGCAATCACGGGTTTTGGAATCATTTGTAAAAGTTCTTGGTCTAGTCCAAAGACGTCGGTGTAAGCCCAGTCGGTGGGACCACCCATTTTACGAACATATTCGTTCAGTACTTCGGGATTTGACTCCAGGGGAATCCAGTTGGATTTTTTGGTGTGGGCTTCAGTCATTTTTTAGGAATTTAGAGAATTTTTAGAACGCAAAACATCCCTTTTATATTTATATTCTTAGAATGTTCGAGAGAATGATGTAAACGATAAATTTAACGTAAGCATAATACCGTAATTCACAAGATGATGTAATTCAAATAATGTAATCCATCCAATGATTGATTATAAATCGGGCCAATTAGAACACAAGAAACTATATAAAATCACGGCATTGACGCATTTCTTAAATTGGTTGTCATTTGTAAAAATGTCTGATCAGGTATATATTATATTGTGTAAATTAAGAATATAAACATGATTGATTTATTTGATTGATTATTATCAAAGGAATATAATGAAGAATCTGATTTTATCGAGCAAGATGACATCGCCGAGGAACAATTGATTCATGATCTTAATATAATGTCAGTAGATGAAGAAGAGGGTGGTGATGATGACGGTATAATTTATTCATTTTTCGTTTTTCTCCTATCTGTTATGGAAATTAATTAATTGTCGTTTGATTGATCAAGAAGAAAATCAAGAAGAAGAAGATCAAGAATTAAAAGATGATTCTGTACAGGGATTTTTCTCGCATCATGGTTGCTATTATTATGATTATTACTTGACCTTTAACATATATATATATATATAGATTAATATTAATATTTGCACGTCACAAATACAGAACCAGTATACAGCATCGATATAAATCCAATTGATGAGAATATAATAGTTTCAGGTGGTGGAGACGATAAGAGTTATTTATGGAGAGTTGATACAGGACAACAATTATTCGAATTATCAGGTATATTAACAAGTTATGAGTAATCAATATACTTTAAAATTGTCCTGATAATATTTTTGATTAATAATAGGACACACGGATTCTGTAACATCAGTGATATTTAGTACCGATGGTCAATACGTAGCTAGTGGTGGTATGGATGGGAAGGTACTTGTTTGGCAAGTAGGAACAGGGGAACTGGTAAACTCTTTGGAAGGTCCCGATGAAATTATGGTAGGTTTCTATTATATTTTAAAATCTTCTTTATATTTATTATATAATACAAACATTTGTTATTTCTACATAATTAATAATAAAAAAAAAGTGGTTGAATTGGCATCCTAAAGGTAACATACTTCTTGCTGGTGCCAATGATACGACAATATGGATGTGGCAAAGTAATTTTTTTTCATTATTTATTTAATATTATATAATAATAATAATAATAATAATAATAATAATAATAATAATAATAATAATAATAAATCATTTTCCAATAGTTCCAAAAGGAACCGTGATGAATGTTTTCGCAGGTCACTCATCACCAGTGGCAACCGGTCAATTCACACCGGACGGTAAAAAAATTGTGACTGGGTCTGACGACTCAACGCTTATTGTATGGGATCCGAAATCTGCTGCTGCTGTGTTAAGAATATCAGGTGAGCGTGAGCCTTTGTGATTATATTTGGCTTTATATCTTACATATTATAATTTTTATGATTTTTAAGGTGAAGATGCTCGATTCCATAACGGAGCTATCACTTCATTAAGAGTAAATAAAGATAGTTCGTTAGTAATTACTGGGTCCACTGATAATTCTGCCAAATTGTTGAATATTAATAATGGAAACGTAAGTTATTTGTCTTTATATATATTTTTTGAATTATATACCACGTTTTCTAAGAAATTCCTCCAGTCAGACCTCCTTATAGTCACCACGATCGGGAACATAGGAAAAAGGAAGTGTGACTATAAAATAATTTTTTTACAAGTTCAATAATAACTCGGTACCAAACATAGGTGTGAATACAATGGAGTTGTGACTATGAGGAGTGTGACTCTGACTGTATACGGCATGGCCATTGTATAGATAATAGTATTAATTACCAATTTACATATAGATTCTTGGTTCATTTGAGAACCATACAGATTCCGTGGAAGCTGTGGGATTTTCCAACAGGTAAATGCATTCTATATTGATATGAATAGATGTACTTAAGTGACACACACACTAAATAACAACCACCACCTAGTCTCCCACTAGCAGCCACCGGATCCGTCGACAACTCATTAAACATCTGGGACCTAAATACCCTCCGACTCCGACAAACAAGTCATCACCAAGACGCAATTACAAAATTGAGCTGGCACGATGCGTCTTCGTCGTCTCCCCATCTTATCACTACTAGCTCTGTGGATCATACTGTTCGCGTTTGGGACGCGAGAACTGGTGATTGTGTGCGAGTTTTTAGCGGACATCAGGATTCGGTGTTGGATGTGGGAGTGTCAAGGTCGGTTTGTTTGTTTATTTTGTTAAAATGTCTGTTTTGTAAATTTCTCGCGTGAATAAATTTCTCACTTAATTTATCGTCGTTGTTGTTATTAGGGATGGAAAAACTATTATTTCGGGTGGTGACGATGGAGTCTGTCTAGTATTTAAATTGTAATAGAAAAAAATATTTAGATATTTAATGACACATTACCTCTCCTTAACGACTATTTGGCGTTGTGACCAGAAGACGAGAAATAATATTTTTTGGAATGCTCTTAGATATTAATGAAGAAAACCGGTTTGCAAATTGTCACAGTCGAGATTCATCGATAATACAAAGTGACTTCTGGAAAATCCTTATTTGATTTTGTTAATTTAATGCTTTAGATAATAACAACAGAGAAATTCTTGATTATTATTCATAATGAATAAGATAACCTTGTTATATTTTTGTCAAATCAAGATTTTATTTAATTTTTTAAGTAACTTGCTCGTTGCTTGAATTTTGATAAAAGATCAATAATTTTTATAATAAGAGCTTTTTTTTGTATACTGAAATATAGTCAAAAAATTTACCAAATGCTAATACTGATATTTATTATCGTTATTTATTAATTTCATCAAAACCTAATTGAGCTTTATAGTTAACGCGCGAAGAGATTTGGATCTTCGAGAAAAATCTATGCACAATTTCTGAAAAATGACTTGTAAAAACATAAAATTATAAATTAATTTTGGATATTAATTTATCAATAAAATATCTTTACATTTCATAAACAAATTGCTATAATAATCTAAATTTCGAGTTATATATTATACACACAAAAGTCGATGAAATTGGATTTTTTAATCAAACTTTTCTATAATCATCAGTCTCAAATTGGATTAAAAATGAAATTGCAATTTATAATATATTTTATTTTAAACTTAATTGGAATATTATTTTTAAATTAAATATTATTAAACTAAAATAATTATATTAATCTTATTGAATTAAAATTAAAAATATATAATTGTTGATGCATTTTGTTAATTATAATATTAATTTCTAATAATTAATTTAGAATAAATAATAATATATTGTAGTTATTTAAATATAAATTCAAATATTAATAAAGTTTAAAGAAAATTATTAAAAAATACAATTAAAAAATACAATAACTAATATAATTGTAAAATCATACATATAATTTTATTAATAAAATACAATAAAAGTTGAAATTTTTGTTTTATAGTAGCAATCAAAAATAATGCTATAATAAAATATAAAAAATGTGAATTTTTTATATGAAAGTTTTTAATTTTTAATTGAATATAAAATTAATAACTTTTTATAATTAAAATATATAAAAAATT